GTGCTTAATATGCTTACATTATTCATGTTTTTTCCACAGATATTTATTTCTCAGAACCATGTTAGGTGAAGCAAGGGGGGTACTCGGTTTTCAACCGACTCATTATTGAGTCTCGTACATTTGTAGTGACTGATTGTCACTGTGTGGTGCTGGGCTTACGACGCCATGGCGGATAATGTGCTGACATGGAAGCCCGCTTACGGGATGTAGTACTAGCCCTAGCGGGGCTTGGGTGAGCACTGGTCAGCGCGGAGGCACCGTGAGCAGTGTGCAGTACGGGCTCCCGGTGAGGGAGCGAGAGGGAGCGTCAGCCAGTCAGGGTTACGTTGGGGCATGATACACTGGTTGACCTGCTGACACGTGACCGGATGATATTGGTGGGGGGCCACCGGTGAACGGGGCGCTGGGCGGTCATGTGTTCTAAAAGAGCTCTCAGGAGCCTTCGAGAAAGAACCCGAGAGATCTGGAAGGTGGGCGGGGTGAAGGGCGAAGCCTGCGCCACGTGGTCCAGGACCCAGCTTGTGGACCGTGTCTAGTTCTGCCGTAGCGTGGTTAGATGGGCATTCAAGACCCGAGTGTAGATTGTGTGATGTTGTGTTAAAGTTACGACTATAAATAGTGTTGCTCCAAAGATAACGTCTGCGACTCAGTTGGACTCACTACACATTGTTCTATGCTCTGCACCTCCGTGCTCTCTGGTGCGTTGTGAAGGGTCTGCTGCACTCCAACCAGCCATCAACTAGTTCACCAGGTCGTTTGCACAGCACTTGCAACATGGCAGTTTCTTACTTGAAGGCAACTAATTATCCCCGTCTGCATCTGAGATTGATCAACCTGGAGCCAATATTAAACTAAAGAACCTGGCACCAACATCGGTGGCAGAGATGTAGATCTTCATCGCATGGCTGCAAAATAAGAGATTGCCACTTGATGACATCCACACGTAGAGTCTCAAATCATACTCGGGTGTGCTTGCACTGGTGATTCTCCACATGGCAAATCTTTTGATCGACGAGGGCTGTTTCTCAGACTGGTTCAAAATGGTGCAGGTAAGACAACTCCTGAAAAAAGTTGGCTTGAGCCATCGTGACCCTGAAAACTATTGTTTAATCTCAAACCTGAATACAATTTCAAAGGTCATAGAGCACCCGTGGTATAAGCGGTTAATTCCCCACATCACTGCGACAGGCAGATTCAACCCTTTGTAGTTGGTGTACTGGGAGTTCCACAGCACTGAGGCCACTCTAAAACTCACTGATGACATCTACAAGATCATGGATGACTGGTGCACCCCAGTGTTGTTTGGCCTCGATCTTTCAGCTGTCTTCAACACCATCAACCATGAGATACTCGTCGGGTGGCTAAGGCCATGGTTCGGTGTATTGGGTATGGCATTAGATTAGATTGAGTCATACCTACATGGTCGATCAAAGTTCATCAAGCTGGGTGATGAACAGTCATCGCCTATACTGTGACTAGTTGGCAAAGCATTGGGGTCCGTCCTTGGGTCCTTCCTACTTTCAACATATATCTCTCTGATCGCCGATGCCATCTCATCGCATGACATCAAGTTCCATCAATATGCTGATGATACACAATTGTACACCGCAGTGAAATCAAAGTTAGATATAGAGACCATTGGTAACCTTGAAGATTGCACGCGAGCGGTGCACATGTGGTTTGCACAAAATGAAATCCTGTCTGATCCATAAAAAAATCGGAGGTTCTGCTAATTGACCCCCAGGTTCAGGAAAAAACATTTGTGGGAGGATCAGGTTTGGCAGTAACAGACTCCAGGATTCAGTTTTCTAATCATATAAATAACCATGACACCATACCCGACCAGGATATTGTTTAATCACCAAGTGCAAAATATCGTCAGATCCTGCAATTTTCATATCAGGCCTCTACGGCACATTCGACCACTATTAAGACTTTATATAGCCAATATGATTGCATGTAGTGTAGTATCAACAATTCTCAATTATTGCAACTCACTACTCTATGGGACGTCTCGGGAAAGAATATTACCAAGCTGCAGCGTGTATAACATTATCTGGCATGTGTCCTGACAGGCACTGCAAGATCCGACCATGTCCGTCCAGTGCTCGCCGAACTGCATTGGCTTTCGGTTGCCAAACAATTACATGAAGTCGTACTCATTACATACAGAGTGCTTGCCACAAATAAACCACAATACCTTGCTGATCTCAAGGAACATAAACCATCATGTACACTATGGTCATCCTCGCAGGGGCTTTTGGCTGGCCACTGAACAAAGATGGCCACTGAATTGTGTGTTTTCAGATGCAGTTCTGCGGCCATCTGGAATGCTGTTGCTTCCAATATTAGGCATGCACTGGAGCTATGCACTTTTAAATCATGATTGAAAACTCATCTCTTTAAGAACTGCTTTTTGTGTTTAATTTGTTGTCCTTTCCCCGCACTTCCAATTACCATGGCTGGCTACGTACAGTACAAAATTCAACATACACGGTGAGCAGGTCTGGCTTGACATTCTTTGGTGTCCTTGCTGGCAACTCCATCATGGCATAACCTTCCGCAGCGGGGGCTTTCAGCTATGCAAGTCATCCTAGAATTGCCTGCTCATTTTCTGTGATGGACACTGTTTAAATCAGGCGCTGAATCCCTGGTACTGTAAGGGTGTCATAATTCTGCATGTTTGGGTTACCAAAAATACTCTGCACCATTCAGAGCGCAGTAAAAGATAACATCTTTACCGTTGACCCAAAGATAAGTTTATTCCGCCTGAGATGCGAGAGACACCACTATTGTCCGATGTCCACAGCCGTTGAGGATACAGGTATCCACTTCCACATATTCTGCCGTTGTCGGACTTGTGCCAGAGCCCTGTCAGCTAGGTGTCATCAGGGTTTCTAACAGGCCTGCACAGCTACCATAGCGGCCCAGAGTTGAGACGCCAACATACTTCACCCTGTTAGCTGTCCACTAAACGCAAACTCATTGCCCAGGTTCCACAACATGGACTGGAGGATGGTGATGTTTAAACACTGAACCGGTACTCATTTAGGCCTGGGCCGACAGAAAGGAAGCCCAGGACCATCTCAGATATGTGTCACTGATGTTGGCCATGACCAGGAATCAAATTGGTTACAGGGTAAATAGTGCAGTGAGCTAAACATATGCTACCATTCCCCACACACATGGGCATACACATTCGCCATGAAGTGGTGGTAACATCACCATGGCATATGTGCAATGCTAGGTGCACTTTTGAGGCCACATGAAGTGTTAAAGGCTAGCCGGCAGGTCACGGAACAGACCTAGGTATCATGGGTTGACTGACCGAGATGACTGGCATATGCACTTACTGTTCTCCCCACTGTGCAAACTTGCTCTGTTTTATCCGCCCAGTGCTCTGCTCGTTGTTGTGAGCATTGTTCCTCCGCTCTCCGTTGTTGCTGGAGGGTGAATACCTTCAAACTGCCCAGTAGCGTCCTTCACAACTCTCTCCACAGAGTCCAATCTCGACACCATTGGTACCAGTCATCAGCAAGTCCAATCAACTCCATATCCTTCCGTAGCACATCAGTGCATTTCTTCTCTAGCCCATGCAGCATCCATTCAGCCCCATCCATCTGGCCAAACAGAAGCTGATTGGGCATGCGATGGTTGGGCATGCTACATGACCCATCCAACGCTGGCTCGTTTTCCAGAAGAACTCACTGATGGAACTCCATCTACAGAATTTGTGAGCTCCTTACACAATCCAGTCTGGCTGAATCCAGGATGGATTGTGGGCAGTCTCGCCTGAATGTTTCAAACTGGTGCAGATTTTCCATTAGAGGGCTGCACGTTTCATAGGCACAGAGAAGGGAGGGCATAACAGTGGCTGAGAAGACCTGCAGCTTCGTATAGAGTGATAGACCAGGTAGCTCACACGCAACATTACGCAGCTGATGAAAAGATGCCACTCGGCTGATTCGGAGTGAGACTTCGGCTGCCAAACCGGGGCTGGTCATAAGCACACTTCTCCACTCTCTCCACAACTGCCCCATTTCTCATGGGGAGGGGAGGGGAGCATTCTATGACACAAAATACTCATGCAGGTACTTTGTTTTTTGTGGGACTGATGGTAAGGCCCCAAATCTTAGTAGCATGCACACATGCAAACAAAGACAAAAAAACCCATATTGCCTTAACAGATTGTTGGGGAAAGTGCTGTTGGCGAGCACCTACGAAGGCCGGAATGCCATATGAGGGGGTGGGTCGCCAGCACCACACCCAGCGATGAGTACACACCACACCAAGTCCTCATTTGAGGCTGAATCGACCTAGGGGAGGCCCAGAACTCGTTCAGATAATCCTCACTGGTGTTGGCCATGAGCGCAGTGCCCTCACTGCTACACTACTGCACACATACACACATATACATATGCACATACACGCACAGAGACAGAGAGTGAGGTGTAGAGTTTGAGTCAGATCATTTGCCTTTTGAGTTTCGTTTGCTTCTTTACTTTTCTGTTATATTTGCTTCTGGTTGTTGACTGTGACACAATGTCCCGCACACCCTTGCATTCCCTCACGTGAAAAAAATGACCAGATTGTGCACCACTTGGTAAAGTTGGTGGGGATTTGGTGGCATTAGGGCAGAAATTAATTATTTAAACAACATCCATCCCGCAAATAACAGAAAAGCATCACTATTGAGGGCATGACATTAAGATAGTGCAGAGTGGATATGCTGACCCAGTCCATCACTATTGAGGGCATGACATTAAGATAGTGCAGAGTGGATATGCTGACCCAGTCCAACACATTCATTTTGTGAGTTTTAACCTGAATTCTGGTAAATTAGGGTGGGAAGTCCATCAAAACTTCAGAGCATCTTTGTTTTTCTCAGAATGGGGTCAGATGTAGCGGCCGCTTTGTCTCAGTGAGCCTTTATTGTGGCCTAAAAACATTATGTTATTTATTGTGTCTTGCCGCCAATGACATGTTATTGTTTTACTCACTGTTTTGTATCTCCAAATGTCAAATGATGATGAAGTTCCAAGATGGCTATATCATAATCATAAAACTCAGATCCTGGCAATTCTCGTTGCATAGCCCGTTCATTATATTTGTCATGTATCAACACTCGCTTCACACTTCTGTGTTCTCCACCAGATGGTAAATGGGAACCTAAAACAAATAAGGAAGATGTATTCACAATAATAATGTATTCATTACTCAATACCATTCAAACAGCAATTAAATTTTCTACACATGGACACAACCTATAACATACTTATAAAACCTTGCCAAAAACATTTATAGAATAAATAATAAGAAACAGTAGGTCTGATAAAGTCATGATGCATAAAGGTTTTCAATATAAATAGATAATGCGACTGAGTAAAATTTGCAGTGTTGAATAAAAGCCATAGAACATAGAATGTGAATGTCAATGAGCTCTCTTCATTACACAAAGGGCGCCTGTATAAAAATATTACTTTCAATGGAATCTCTCTAATTAGAGGACATATTTCAATACATATTGAATCTCAAGTTTCTCTCAAATGGTTAAAAAGCATGTCAAACACAAGATGGAGTGATATTAAATGCGCTATATTACCTCATTAACCCTATTCTGTTCCAAAACGTCTGGGTGAGACCCGTTCACCACTGAATTTCAGAACGTGCAAATGGTTACCGTTAATTTTAAAGGCATAGCGCCGTTGTTTTTAAATACACTCTACTCAACCCAGAGAACTGTAGCGACACAACGGCACTCTATGATAGCTGACGCCAAACTGTGCCACACGCCCTCCCACATGGCCTTTTGGGAGCCTCGGTATTTTTAAAGTTATTTTAACTCAATTTTTCTTCCAATGTCAGGAGGGATGATGTACACGTTCTAATGACGTACACGTATGGAACGGAATCGGAAGAAAACTGATTATGTACATGTACGTCATCGCAATGGCAAAGGGTTAAAATACATACATTCCATGACATTATAAATCTCAAGATGCTCTTGTCTAGTTTAAAGAAGATTAATCCAAAGAGATAATACATATTAAGAGTTTCTCACATCGTTATTGAGGGATAATTGAAGAGAAGCAACTAATTTTGTAAAAATCTATCAATATCTATTTTTTTATTCCATTGACTTTATTTATTGTCATGACATTTATGAGTGTTTCTATTGTGTACAGTGCCTTTCACAAAAGGATCAAGTAAAAGCGCTTAGCATAAAAAATGTAATAACAAAAACGATTCTAAAGAATTACATGAGAAAGAATAATAGCAATCAGTCAGCATAAAAAAATATTGAGAATGGGAAATACATGAGAAAACATACTTGTAATGAAAGTGAACACTGTACTGTATCGTAATTTTTTTTCCAATATTACTTTGAAAACAGCCCGAGAGGGAGCCTCTCTTACAGATCATGGCAGGTAATGCTAAAGTGTAGGGACTAATGCTCTCATGCCATAGCGTGGGGGCTAATGCTCTCATTTCAGTGGAGGGGCTAATTTTGCTATAACACGATGTGGGAATGAATACCCTTATACCACACTGTAGATGTTAATGCTTTGTAGTCGGTCCAACTGAGTCGCAGACATTTTTCCTTTTGGAGGCAACACTTTTATTTGTAACACTGTAACACCGTAACACAAAGGGGTAACTGCCTTTTTACCAGACTACAGCGAGGTACTGCTACAAAGGGCCGATCCCTCACTCGGGTCTCCGACCACGTGGTTGCCTCGTAAGACAGAGAGCTTCAGCTTGAGACGTAGAGCTTCCCGCTTGTAGATGTTGAGCTTCCAGCCTGTAGAATGCAGCGACCCCGGTCCCTTTCAAGGACCCACCTTATATTCCTCTCAGGTCGGGGCCACTCCGCCCTCAGCCCCGCCCGCCTTCCTGAACATTCTCATTCCCTCTCGATCCTTCTCAAGAGCTCTCTCCGGACACGTGATCACCGACCAGTCCCCCCACCTGGGGCCCCTTGTGTGGACATTCCGGATCACGTGTCTACGGGGTCAACGAGAGTGCCACGGCCCGGAGTAACCCTGCCCCTGGGCTGACATTCACCCCCTCCCCCTCAGGGAAGCCCCCACCACACACTGTGCATGGTGCCCGTACTATCCCAGTGCTCGCCAAGCTCCGCTAGGGCTGGAATTACACACAGCCACCCAAACGGTGCTATCCACAATGTAGGAACATGGAACTGCACGACCCTTCCGGGCTGGCATCATACAGTGACATCCCCGATGTCACTACATCGCCCCCCCCCCCCCCCTTCGTAGCATCCAGCCGTCCCAGCTGTCAATTCCCCCCTCATCGAACAATAAGTGAAGTGCAACGAGCAAAAAAAAACACATTGTGCCTCAACAATAACAAGAATAACAATAAATACCCCAACCCACCTGTACAAAATTTACAGGGAGAAGGGAGGAAACCAACGAACCCATAATAACCACACCATCTTAACAACAATTCCAATGAATGGCATGAACCACGGGATCCCCCATAACCATCACACCCCCCACCTTCATCATGTAACAACGCACGCGAGCGCAATGGCAGCAAGGATCAACAATAACCGCCGCGACTCAGCGGGTTGCGACGAACAACCAACAGCGCGGGAGCATGTGCGCAAGGGGATCGTGTACGAGTCTTTGAGTGGGTCCGTGATGCCGGGCCACCCCGCCACAGGGGAGGCGGGCACGCACCACTAAGGGACCCGCAGGGAATGTGTCAATGTTCCGCCGGACCCGGCTCCTCACGAAGAGCAGCAGGCCAGGCCGGCGGGTCCACCCCCCTTGAAGCCCGCGAAACCGGCATGCGCAAACTTTCAGGGGATGCCAAGTGTACTGCGGCCAGGAATGGGACAGAATCGCCCCGCCTGAGAGCAACCACAGTCGCCACTCGCCGCGGGTCGCCGGACGCACTTGACACTCGACCCCAGCGATATGGAGATGAGATTAATTCGCGTGGCACAATGACCGGCTCAAGGCGAGAGGGGCGGACAGCACAGCAACTAACCACATCCCAGGATCGTCGCGTGCAAGGCTCCGCACTCGCATTCCTAACAACGCCCCCTACCGGAAGTGCCAGAGCCGCATGAGCCAACCCCGTACTTTCCTGAATGACCGTGTGTCCAACCCAGCATTTTGAACCTGGGTTCCTGGTCGTCGGACACCAACGTCCGAGCTATAGCTCGGTACCCCGCAGTACCCAAATCGAGCGGCTCCCTCAAACGGAGGGGAAAAGACGTTCGTGCGCCGGGCGGGATCTCCCCCGTTCGGCGCGCAGACATCTGCACCATAGCGTTAGCCGCACACAACCGGGTAGGGGAAGGCAAAAATGCCACACGGCGTCTGGATGGCAATTCCAAACAGCCGCGGTCAATGAAGATATCCAATGGCATCCTGCCAAGGAAATCGGTTCCAAGTAAACATGGAACAGTCAGGGATGTGGAAACAAAAATGCGTCTCGATAAGCTAACATCGGCAATGCGTACCCCAGCCGTGATCCGACTGATGATACCCAAAGAGCCGCCGTCAGCAGCGACACACGGCGCATCGACAAGGTCGAGAACCCGACACTTAGGGGGCAGAATGTAAAAAATCTGGACTGTAATGATAGTTGCCGATGCACCTGTGTCGATCAGCATACTTGTCTCCACTCCCTCGATAGACCCAAGCACCATAGACGAACCCTCGGTGGCAGCCACAACTCGATGGGCCATCTCCGACCACTGACCCGGTCGGAGCTGACGCACCTCGCAATTACATGTAGGACTTTCCCCTACCGACGCGCGATCGGGCCGCGACTCAAATTGCCTAGATGAGTGAAGTGAGGCCCGGGGTCGAGTGTGGAGTGTGTCCGGACTCGCCTCAGATCGTGGAGGAGAACAGGATGGCGGTAATGCCAGAAGACGCCGACGTGGGACACGGCAGCCTGAAGCAACGTGGCCTGACAGGCCACACTGGTAGCAGGTAACACGGCCGCCTCTGGAACGAAAAGACGACCTCGACTGCCCCCGCTTGTCCGTCCGCCGCGTGGCACCGTCACTCCGGTCACCACCCTTCTGAGTCGACGCGCCTTCCGTAAGGGGCCCCACAGCATGCGGTGGCCCCGGCTCCGTGCGGGACACAGCGCAAGTCGCCAGCACCCCGTCCCAATGCAAAAGTTGCTGGGCTCGGACGCACTTGGCGACTTTATGGCGCACGTCCGTCTACGGGCCAGAGGCCAGAGGCCCGTAGATGGACGCCAGTTGATCGAAGGCCTGCGTAAGGGTGGATCTTTCCAGCGGCGGGATGGCAAAAAACGCTGCACGGGCATCTTCATCAAGGACGATAGGTAGCGACCGCAGCTCCTCCTTCTCCAATCACCCCGCCAAGCCGGCGTTTGCGAGGAACCGCCACTTGAAAGCCACCCAATCGCCGTCGGGAGCAATGAAGCTTGGCAGGCTGCGCGCTCAACGCAGGTGGTAAAATGGCGGCCGATTGCGCGGGCTGCACCACCGAGTTTCCCGCCTGTCGTGAAATGGCGGCAGAGTCACCATTCATGATCAGTCTTGACGCTCCTTCCATCGCCGGCGAGACTGCAAGGCTCAACTGCGCCAAGAGCGAAGTCGCCGTGTGGAGGAGCTCCGCGAGACGCTCGTGCACCTCCCGGAGGGTCGCCACCACCGACGGCGAAGCATTGAGTCCCCGGACAGCACCAGGCTCCGCTGACAGCGTCTCCCCCGCATCTTCCTGCAAGCTGTATGAAGTCCTCATCCTCATCGTCTGACATGCAGGTACTCGGTCCGCAACGTGTAGACATACAGTAGTCTACAGCTTAGTTGAGTAACAAGCGTGTTGGCCACTTCTGACACCAGTTGTAGTGGGTCCAACTGAGTCGCAGACGTTGTTCCTTTTAGAGGCAACACTTTTATTTGTAACACCGTAACACCGTAACACAAAGGGGTAACTGCCCCTTTACCAGACTACAGCGAGTTACTGATACGAAGGGTCGATCCCTCACTCGGGTCTTCCAACCACGTGGTTGCCTCGTGGGATGGAGAGCCTCAGCTTGAGATGTAGAGCTTTCCGCTTGTAGATGTTGAGCTTCCAGCCTTTAGATTGCAGCGACCCCAGTCCCTCTCAGGGACCCTTATATCCCTCTCCGGTTGGGGCTACTCCGCC